AAATGGAGTACTACTCAGCCATAAAGAATGAGAAAGTAGAAACATTTATAGCTAAGTGGATGCACACTGAGGCCATACTCTTAAGTCAAATAAATAGGACACACATGTAAATACCAAATAATTTCTCTGGTGTGAAAAACTAAAAGTGTAAATAAGGTTCATATGGTATAATTGATAATGTGAAATAGGAAGAAAAGGTCTAAAGGAGTAGGGGAAGTGGGAAGGGTAGGGGAAAGGAAAGAAGGGAAGAGGAAAAATTTGAGAAAAGGGAAAAAATGGAAACAAAGTCTTTGTAAATAGGCAAGGTTGGAGGGGGTGAAGGGAGGGCAGGGGAATGGGGAAAAAATAGCCAAGATACATCATGTAAAGGTACAAGATCCCAATAATGAATGTAACTGTATTGTATACCCTAAATGTACCAATAAACTTAATAATGTACCAATAAACTTTTTCTTTTTGTCTTATTCTCCACCTTTGCATTTAATTTCTTGTCACACCCGATGGATTCATTCTGCTGGGCTTTCTGGGGTTGTGATCCTCATCTTTTCCTAGGATAGTGTCTAAAATTTTTGGAGTGCTGGTTTGGTATTCATGAAATTCCTAAGGTGCTCTTTGTCATGAAAGTATCTTATTTCTCCATCAATTTTGAAAGATAATTTTGCAGGGTGCATCAAACTGAGTTGGAGGCTGTTTTCCTTTAGTGCTTGGAATATGTCACTCCAAGCTCTTGCCTTCAGGGTTTCTGTTGCAAAGTCTGCTGTGATTCTGATGGGCTTTCCTTTGTATGGGATTTGTTTCTTTTCTCTCACTACTTGTAGAATTTTGTTCTTCATTGGGTTTCTGGAATCTTAACAATTATATGCCTATGTGTAGATTGTTTTTGATCATGGCTAGTTGGAGTCCTAAATGCCTCACTTATCTGTATGTCAAGTTCTCTTCCCTTACTTGGGAAGTTTTCTGCCAACACTTCTGTGAACAATTTTTTTATGTCATCTGCACTCTCTCCTATTTCTTCACTGACTCTGATCAATCTTATGTTATTCTTCTTTGCATTGTCTAGCAGCTGCTGGATTGATTTCTTGTGGTCCCTTACAATTTAAAGCAATTTTTCTCTTCCTTGTCATTAATTGCAAGCTCATCTCTATATCTGAATTTCTGTCCCCACATTGGCTCATTCTGCTGCATAGACTTTCAATGTTGTTTTTAATCTCCTGGAAATCTGTTTGTATCTGTTTTATGGATTCCATTTGTTTCCTATGTTGGGATCCTATTGTGTTCCTGACCTCCTCTCTAGGTTTATTAATCATGTCTTGCACTATGAGCACAATCTCTGCTGTTATCTGAAAATTATTTCTAATGTCATTTTTTCCAGATCCTCTTTTGTTGCCAGTTCATGAGTCCAGGTGGTTGAGTATCAGAGTGTTCCATCTCATTTCCCTTTGGAGTTGCTGTAGGTGATCTCAAAGTCTGGTTTTGAGACTTCTTTACGTGTCTTCTCATTTCGACGAGGTGTTGGGGGGGCGGGTGCTGCTGGTGCCTACGCGGCTCACCTCCTGTGTGCCGGCCGGGGCAGCACAGTGGCCAGGAAGCCCCCTCCTGTGCACTGGGAGTGGCCCACCTCCTGTGTGCTGGCTGGGGTGGTACATTGGCCCAGAAGCCTCCTCTTGTACACTGGGAGCAGCTCACCTCCTGTGTGCTGGTGGGGGTGATATGGTGGCCTGGAAGCCTCCTCCCATGTGCTCGGAGAGGCCCACCTCCTCTGCACTAGCTGGGGCAGCACGGTGGCCGGGAAGCCTCCCCCTGTGTGCTGGGAGCAGCTCACCTCCTGTGTGCTGGCCAGGGTGGCATGACGGCCCTGGAAGCCTCCTCCTGTGCACCAGGAATGGCCCAACTCTGTGTGCTGGCAGGGGCAGTACAGCGGCCCGGAAGCCTCCTCCTGTGACGCTAACTTTTTAAATATAGCACAGTTAACAAAAAGCACTTAAGAATCTACGTAATCTAACCATGGAATTCCTACTCTTTACTAATCTACATTGTGTATAAAGAGAGGAGAGTGAACAGGCAGTCTGACTTAGCAATTTGACTTAAGATTTTTCGACTTTATAATGGTGCAAAAATTATACCCATTCAGTAGAAATCATACTTTGAGTCTTGAATTTTGCTCTCTTCCCAGGCTGGTTATATACAGTGATAGCCTCTCACGTTGCTGGGCAGCTACCATACAATCATGAAAGTAAATCACTGGATACTCCATACTGTGTTGAGAACGTAGAATATTTGGTAGTAGTTGTAGTTTTCCACTGACTTCAATTACGGGGCAGGGGGGTACTTAATTATGCCCCTAGGGGATTTTCCTGTATCCAACATGTACTCCTGACTATCCCCCATTGTATAGTGGCAACCTAGTTTCTCATTGGCTAACAGACCAATCACTGCAGCCAGTATAGAAACCCCCTTCTTTGGTGTGTTGATCCAAATGCATGAGAGGCCAAAGGGCCAAGGTGCAGCCTCAACATGCAGTTCAATAAATCACTGTTGTGATCTGCACTAGTTTTTCATTTCTGAATAACAAATTACCTCACACCTAGCCACTTAAAACAACAAACATTTTTTTTTATCTCAAAATTTCCACTGGTCAAGGGGAGTCCGGAAACATTAGCTGGTCCTCTATTTGGAATCTCTCAAGGTCGCAACTAAGGTGTTGGCTGGGCTGACATTTCCTCTGTTTCACTCTGTTAACTATTTTTTCTCCTATTCAGAATTCTTTTAATTCGGTGGAATCCCCAGCTGTCTAATTTTGCTTCTGTTGCCTGTGCTTTTGGAGATGTATCCAAGAAATCATTGCCAAGAATATTGTTGTGGAAATTTTACTGTTTTCTACAGTTCCAGGTCTTATATTTAAATCTACAATCTATTTTGAGTTGATGTTTATACTGTGTATGGGATCAGATAAGAATCTAATTTCATTCTTCTGGGTATGGTTATCCAGTTTTTTCCTTACCATCTAGTGAAGAGACGTCTTTTCTCCTTTTTTTGTTCTTGGTAACTTTGTGAAAAATAAATTGACATGAATGTGTGAGTCTATTTCTGAGCTCTATCCTATTCCTCTGGTCAAAGTGTGTATTTTTTATTCCAGTACCGTGTTGTCTTGAGTACTATTGTACCTTTGCACTATATTTTGAAATAAAATAGTGTGATACCTCCAGCTTTGTTCTTTTTATTCAAGGTTGCTTTAGCTATTTGGAGTCTTTTGTCTCTCCCTCTCTCTCTCTCTCTCT